CGACTACTACAAGGTCAAGTCCGCACCTCCGAAGCAGTACACCCCGCCCGCCGATGCTGTCCCCGCTGCTGCTCCCGCCCCCGCCGAGAAGAAGAAGGTCGTCGCGCCGACAATCGAGGAAAAGGCCGACCAAAAGGAACAGCTTCTTGACGAGGTGTCGTTGGCCTCCCCAGGAGCTGGTCCTGCCGCCGAAGAGAGTTCGTCCGAAGAGGAGAGCTCTGAAGAGGAGGACTCTGATGAGGAGAGCGAAGAGGAGACCACCAAGGACAAGGGCAAGGGTCTAGAAAAACCCGCTCTGGGCGACGTCCCTTGCCCTCGAGTCGGTCACGCCAGCGCCGTCATTGGCAGCCGCATCTTCGTTTTCGGCGGTCGCGGAGGACCAGAGTTGGCTCCCCTCGAGGAGGCCGGCCGTGTCTGGGTCTTCGACACTCGTACCAACACCTGGACTTTCCTTGACCCCGTCCCCCCGGCTCCCGGCGTGACCAACCTACCCATGCCTTCACCACGAAGCTACCACGCTGCCGCTGCCACCGACCGCCCGCGTGATTTCGCTCCTAAGCGCCCGCGCCGTGCCCAGACCTGGAAGACCTGGGCTCTTGGGGACAGTTCCGAAACTGGCATCCCTCAGGCCCCCATTGTCGGCCATCTCGCCGCTAATGCCGTCGACGAGGAGGATGAGGGATACGGCACCTTCTTCGTTCACGGTGGTTGCTTGGCAGGCGGCGAGCGCACCAACGACCTCTGGGCATTCGATGTCCGAAGCCGTGTGTGGAGCCAGCTCCCCTCAGCGCCCGGTCCGGCACGCGGAGGCGCTGCCATCTGCGTGAGCAAGAGCCGTCTGTTCCGATTTGGCGGATTCGACGGCAAGAATGAGCTTGGTGGTCAATTAGACTTCATCCACCTCGAGATGGATACTTTTGATGACGGCGTTTCCAAGGGCGAGATCGCCGTCCACGGTCGCGGCGGATGGCAAAGTATTGTCCAGGGGGCCAACTCTGGCGAGAAGGAGATCAACCTTATTCCCGGCCAGACATGGCCCGGCCCCCGCAGCGTGGCTGGTCTCGAAGCTGTAACGGTTGGCGCCGGCCGTGAGTACCTGTTGCTCATCATGGGCGAGCGGGAGCCAAGCTCGGACGGCCATGCCGGCGCCGGCGCCATGTGGGACGATGTGTGGGCATTCCAGGTCCCGCCTCTCGGCATGACTGCCGCCAGCGTCCGGGATGCCATGTGGTCCAGCATGGGCTGGCAGACGGGCGAGGGCAGATGGACGCAGCTTACCATGGAGCCCTATGACGATGATAATGACGATGGTGAGCCGGCACCGCGTGGCTGGTTCGCGGCGGCGCCAATGGCTGACGTCGAGGAGAGCGGCGTGGTCATCTGGGGAGGACTGAGCTCGGAGAACAAGAGATTGCGTGACGGATGGATTCTGAGGATCCCCGAGTGAGGATGAGACACATTGTCAGAAGACAGGCCACCTATACTTCAGTTGCATATTCCCCAGCTTTGCGAACAGAACAGAGCAGTTTTCGAACGAGTCCATAGCAATTTGACCAAGATTATTTTTGATGTCAAACAAAGAACAATGCACACATGATATTCGCGGCTTCGAGCAGGGGGGGGGGAAAGAGTGCCGTGAGTCTCTGAAAACCGTCTTCCCATGCGTTACGAATACAGCACATGTGTGAGTTATATACAAGCCAAAACCACTGGCTCAAATTCCATTCGCCCGGCCCTATCGTCGGTATCTTCCATCATCCGCCCGCGCGTGCTTTTTCGCTCTCGCTGCCTCTCGTTCATCCTCGAACACCCCCAATCTTCTATCTTTCTTTACAAATCGGGTCTCGTCATCTCGGGTCCCCACGGCTCAGCGGTCAAGTTCGTCAGACCCTTGCTGTTCTCGCAAGTGTCGCGGCCGCTGAGAGGGCCGGGCTTGGGGACCTTTGCGGCGGAGACGCCGCCGGTGGCAGAGGCGGTGGCCTTGAGGGCGTCGAGGAGCTGGACGGTGGTCTCGGGGGTAAGGTCTTCGTAGTAGTCGTCGTTGATCTGGATCATGGGGGCGTTGACGCAGGCGCCGAGGCACTCGACCTCGAGGAGGGTGAAGAGGCCGTCCTTTGTGGTCTCGCCCTGCTTGATGCCCAAGTGGTCGATGATGGCCTTGACGATGACGTCGGAGCCGACGCCGCCAAGCTGGCAAGGGGTCTGTTCAAAGTGTTAGCATATTACGTCCATCTTTCCGTTCGCACAATTCTCGGTGTCTGCGACATCTATTCGGCCCAGAGGGCATCTCGGCGGATATGATCGGAAGCCGGGGATGTACTCACTGTTGTGCAAGCCTGGATAAAGTACTTTCCGACGGGAGTGCGGTTGTACATGGTGTAGAAAGAAGCGACTTCGAAGACACGCTGGGGGGGCATCTCGAGCATGCGGGCAACCTCGTTCATGACGCTGATGCTGGTGAAGCCGTGTTGGCGCTGGCCGAGGTCGAGAATGGGCATGACGGCGGCCTTCTTGTATTGGGGAGGGTAGCGCTTGAGGATCTCGGCGATGATGGCCTCATTCTCCTTGTTGAACTTGAAAGGGACATCGGCGTTGTTCTCGGGGGAGTCGCGGTGCTGTTGAGGGGGGAGCGGATGGTCAGCATTGCTGCGTCTTGGCATGTGGCATGCTGCCCTTTGCAAAGCAGATATCCCCCAATCGTTCTCCGCCCAACGCGGCAGTTTGATCCATATCGCACACGCAATTGACGTGCCGGTCGGAGGGGTAGGAGGAGGAGGTCGAGGAACAGGCTGAGGGCGAGCGACTTACCACTTGCAGTGTGTCGCTGGGGCGGACGGCTGTGACGGAGAGGGCGCGGATCTGGGGCCTCGCCGCTCGACATGTCGAGCGGAGGGCTGATCTGAAGAAGAGAGGGGCGAGTCTGGAGGCCATTGCGAGGGATGGTGGCTGGCTCAATTGGCGATGGCGGAGGGCGTGGTGATGGGTTGCTGTTCGCTTAGGATTCCGGGAGGTCAAAAGTCGTGAGTTGCTTGAATAATTCAATGTCTCTGATTGGTCTGTCCGGCTAATGTGCGGAAACCCGCTTGTGCAGATTTTCGTGGTGTCATTGAGTTTGCATAAAATGTTATGCATGTCTTCCCAGAGTAAAGCTTTCTGGGTCCCCACCGGTCGTCAAACAGCTCCGTCTTGTTTCCGGCTGCTGCACCTTCTATCATCACCGACCATCTGGGGTCTGTAAGGTCGATATTATCAACAGCTATCTTCACTCACCAATGTCGACCCAGACAAAGATATTTTCGCCGAGGATAAAACATTGAAGCGAAGTCGTCTCGGTCTTGGTTGGCAAGTCTGACTCCCGTTCAGGATAATCAATTGACTGGTGTTGCACGAGGGGTCAATTATCCTTTAGTTCACAGAGAAGAGAGCAGAGACCACAAACCGGGAACAAGTAGTGGACTAGACTTGGACCTGGACTAAACGAGCACCCATGACCCCAAAACCCGCATTATCGGGAACCTGCCAGCGCCTGGCGCACACCGGATTGAACGGCTCGCAGACTCATGGCCGTAAGCATGATGGCAGCTACTGATAAACAATAAACAACCGAATTTTACCTCGGAGAGAGGAGGCTCAATGGTGAGACATGGACTGCCTATGAGCACGAAAAAGTGTCACAGCCCAGACCTGTCAGCGAACGTCAAGGGTCATCTTTGCAGTTACCGATTGGCTATATGTAACCCTCATCCGGACTGCAGCTTTTGTACAACGCGCGCGGTTCTTCGTAACCCCAATTCGGGGGTGCCTATTGAAGGCGTTTGGTCATCCACGATGTTGGGCGGCGATGCGTTGGAGTAAATGAAGAAAGCGGTAACATCAAGTAGGGTCTCAAAGCTTGGATCTGCGCACGTTCTCAACGTCAATCAGTGGGCTCTGAAGCTCGTTTCCACATCCGAGACACACAATAAGAAGAAGCGGCTCTGGTAGAAGCTCTTCCCCGCGTGCCGCATCATTGCTCCTCCATCTCGCATTGGAAATTAGCGAAAACTCCGGAGCCGGACCCGTTCTCAGCTCCGCACTTGGCACCCATCCTTTGGGTTGCGTGGCGGCGCCGTTCCAAGCAGGGTTGGCAGACAAACGACTTGTAAACCATTTCAGGACGTAACAAGCGGCCCTTCCTTCAACCCTCCCTCCCCCCTCACAGAGATAGCTTTTCCGTTAGCCGTGCCTCGGCTCGTCCCAACATCGTCCATTCGCGAAGAGAGCTCCCCCCCTAACTAACCCCCGCATCGACAGGGGTGCAATGCGGAGAATCTAGCGTCACGAAAGCATTGCCCCCAGGTTTAGATGCGTCGAAACTGGCCTCCGAAAGCCACGGTCTCGCGGCAATTGCATAGCCATTGGCTCGCCATGGCGCGGGGATCTGGGGTTATCTCGTCTGGAGGCTGGAGCTCTCGTCTGCCCCAGGTCTGCTGGTCGCTATATGAAGCTCGCTAACCCTCGTCGTCCCTACCTGTTGTCCTCTTGTCTCTCAATAAAATCGGTGTAGGCTATATCGTAGTTGTTGGCTGACCGTATCTACTTTCCACTGTTAACTGGCCTGGTTCGTAAGTTGACTTTGGCTCACTCATTCACCGTGTCTTGGAGCATCGAATCACTGACTCGAGTTCAGTAAACACAACGGATAGATTACTATATCGTCCGGATACGGGTCCTTCGGCTTCTGTTCAAACTGGGGCCTCAATAGAAGCTCTCAAACCTTACTGCGGCAGGGTCCCCTTCACAAGTGGCCGTTGCTACGCTCACAACTCCAACCGAGCACGACGTGTTCCGTCCCAAGTCCGGGGAAAGCTCCAACGATCCCATTTAATTTCGAACTTTTCCTACTAGTTCCTCGCTTCAAATAGAGCTCGCTCGCCTGTCGAAAAAGGTGGCTTGACGCCATTCCAAGCTTCACGGCCGAATCCCACCAACACCACCGACAACTCCCAACAACCGCAACGATGCCGATCAAGTCACGGTGGTCGGAGCCGATTCCGAACTGCTCTCTCCAGAAATGGATCTTCGGCTCTTCCTGCGCGCCCCTCTCCGACCGAAAGGCTTTCTATGACGCCGACCGGCCAGAGACGCACTACCTGACCTTCGCCGACTACCGCCTCGTCGCAAAGCAGATCGCCATCGGCCTGCAAAAGGCCGGCCTCAAGCCAGGCGACCGCGTGCTCCTGTTCTCAGGGAATAACCTTTTCTTCCCCGTCATCTTCATCGGCGTCCTCATGGCCGGCGGTATCTTCACTGGCGCCAACCCGACTTTCGTCCCTCGCGAACTCGCCTACCAGCTCAAAGACAGCGGGGCCGTCTTCATGGTTGCTGCCGAGGGCAGCTTAGACACAGCTCTCGCTGCCGCCAAGGAGGTCCAGATGCCAGCGAGCAACGTCTTTGTGTTCGATACTACAATCCCGGGCTCATCGCAACCCGAGAAGCCCGCGCGGGGTGGTGCTCGTCACTGGACGGAGTTGATTGCTCCAAAGGCCCAGGCAGAGAAGTTCGAGTGGGTTGAACCCGCGGATGCGCGCACGACGACCTGCTGTCTGAACTACAGCTCCGGCACCACCGGTGTGCCGAAAGGCGTGGAGATCACGCACTACAGTTACGTTGCCAACGGATGCGGTGTCGTCAAGGTCTCGGCTTTGGAAGAGGATCACGAGGCTTCAATTGCTCGCTCCGTCGGGCTCTGCTTCCTGCCTCTATATCACGCATATGCTCAGACATACTTCGTCGCCAACTTTGCCAAGCAAGGCATTCCAGTCTACATCATGACGGGCTTCGACTTCGTCAAGATGCTCACTTACATCCAGCGCTACCGCGTCACCCAGCTCGTCAGCGTGCCACCCATCTTGGTGGCCCTGACCAAGCACCCCATCACCGCAAAATTCGACCTGAGCAGTCTCGAGTCTGTCGGCTCCGGTGCTGCCCCGCTCGCCGAGGATGTTGCACGACAGGCAGAGAAGCTACTAAAGAAGCCCGATCTTATCGTTCGTCAGGGTTGGGGCATGACAGAGGTGACGTGCACAGCCATGACATGGGACCCCTCGCGGTTGGTGCGCAGTTCCTCCGTGGGCGAGCTCATGCCAAACTACATGGCGAAGCTCGTCGATGAGAGCGGCAAGGAGATTACCGAGCCCAAGGTACCCGGTGAACTCCTCGTCACCGGCCCCACGGTTATGCGTGGCTACTGGCGCAACCCGAAGGCCACCCAGGAGACTATTGACACCGATTCAGAGGGCAACCGCTGGCTGCGGACCGGTGACATTGCATACGTCGACGAGTTCAAGACGGGAGGCCTGTTCTACATCGTCGACCGCAAGAAAGAGCTTATCAAGGTCAAGGGGAACCAGGTTGCTCCCGCAGAGCTTGAGGCTTTGCTCCTCGAGCGTCCAGATATCGCTGATGTAGCCGTTATCGGCGTCACCATCAACGGTGAGGAGTTTCCGCGTGCGTACGTTGTTCGGTCGCCTGGAACCAACACCTCCGGCGAGGAAATTGCGAAGTGGTTGGAGGAGAGGGTCGCTAAGCATAAGCGCCTAAGGGGCGGCGTAGCGTTCACGGATGTTATCCCTAAGAACCCGGTATGACCCCTCCACATACGTGACTCTCCAAAATCCTATATGCTAACGTCTTTATAGTCTGGAAAGATTTTGCGTAAGATTCTCAGGGAGCAGGCCAAGAAAGAAGTAGGAGACGAGCCATTGGCTAAATTGTAACGAGAGAATGTGGACTTTTATATATGTATGACATATACTTGGTAGATTCGACACAGAAACGAGGGCTCCTCCGTCTTACGCGTCGTTTCATTGTGCAGGTCGAGGGAGAGAGCACTCGCAACCAAGAGTATTTACGTTTGACATAAGTCGTCTTCTAAAGTCGCTAGCTAGACCTATACCGTTCGCCACCTTCCTATATTTGAGGCTCTCGTGGCACAAGCAAACCGGGTATCGTCCCTATTGTACAGGCCCCTTCCTTGGCTAAAGACCCATAAACGCCTCCTCCCTTTGTGTTTCAATATTTCAAGCATGCTCAACTCCCCATCGATATCCTGAACGGTAGTAAAATGAGGGGCAAAAAAGGTGTCAAGGATACAAAATGGAGAGATGAAAAAAGACGCAACCCTACTGCGCCCTGCCCAATGCTAATGCTGATGCATTTTGACGTAAGACAAAGAAAAACCCCCCAACCCACGGAAGGCAACGGCTGGCCTACCGTCTTGCCGCACGCACCGACTGGTGTTTGGAACGGCTTCCGCGCTGTACTCTGTCCCATCCCCATATCTGCCCCCAGTGTTGGTGGATTGGATGGACAGTGCGTATGAAACGCTGAGAGTAGAGTGAATCTCTCTGAGAAGCCCATGGGGGTGGTGCTGGCCGCGTTCCACACTATGAACCGACGGCCAAGCACGAATCCAGGACTGAGTCCAGGGCGCTCATATCTTGAGGATCGCCGCCTTCCCACCAAGGTTCCGAGTCGATTTCCATGGCATCAACATGCCCATTCGGCAATTGCTGCTTAGCTGAAAGGCCGGTGTCAACGCCCTCGGTCTTGGTATTGTCACCCAGTCCCTCGAAGCCTGGAAGCCAGGTGTAGTCGTGCCAGTTTTCGAGCTCTCCCTCGCGATAGCCGTAAGAGATTGCCGTGTTGATGATAGGAAATTGCGACAGACCGCTGTCCGCCATTTCCAGGGCGATTCGAACATCGGCCATACCAAGCGGCCCTCGTTCGCTTGCAGCCTTCGACTCAATTGGCAGAAGACCGCTCTTGTCTCGGGTCATATCGCCCCGCAAAGCCGCGTCCTCCTCTTTGACGAGCTGACGGCGGTACTTGTGCGTCTGAATCCAATTTGTGCCAGCACCGAAGCCAGCGTTGCCTCCTTCTCCTGGTCCGTTGCTTCTTGTTTTCGAAAACACGGCGGCCAGGGATTCTTTGATGAATGTTTCCGTTGCAACAGACATGAAGTACGCTGCATCAGAGACATGTCCGTTTGTAAGCCCGGCCTCGTAACAGAATGGTAACATTCTGCCCTCGATTAATTGCGCATCTGGAAATTCGCCTGATTCGACAGCTAGAGGCTGGGCGAAACGCTTGCGGATCTCGAGGTCAAAGTCTGGCAGTCTAGTTAGCACTGGGCGACCAATAGGTGCATGCTGCACTTACTCATTTTGTTGATACCACCTATACCTCCTGCGCTGGGTGGTACCTCGGCAGTCTTGGTCTGTCGTCTGTGGTTATCCAAAAAGACGCTGGCCAGATTCTCGTGGGGGTCGAACTGCGAAGAAGTAGAAAGTCAGAGACATAATTTGCCATGTAGGGGGGCAATGTGTAACCAACATCGTTGGACGCCAGGTCCTTGATGCGCCGCCTGTCTTTGCTGGGAAGTTGCATGACATCGCCCTTGAGCCGACGTTCAGCAGCATCGCCTGATACAGGCTTGCTACCGACGGGAGCAGTGGGTTTGTCATTGGCGCTGACCCAAGGGGCGAGCCCCTGATCTGGCATCTCCCTCGTCACATTGCCGTATATCGCAGCAATCAGCTGGTTATGTAGGTGCTCCTTTTCGCCATTTGGGGAGACGAGGATGGGATCGATACGTTCCGTATATTCAGTCTGGTTCAACCGACCTGTTTCTGGTTGTCAGCACAAGAACAAGGATGCGCCGATAGTCTGGGGTTGCGTACCGATGAGGAACTCCGTTGTCGACTCCTTGTACACGATCCATGCTTCCGGGCCAATGGCCTGCTTCAGAGCGGTATAGAGCGGCTCAAGGTCAATACGGGCGGGAATAATCTGGCTGGTTTTGGCTGCTTTGATAGAACCCGGAGGCTGGACGGTGATTGACTTGTTGGATAATGTCGGGGTGGAAAGGTTGACGGATGGGCGGCTGCTCAAGGCCGCGGGGTCGATGTCGGGCATTGCGACGGGATGCCAGAAGGGCAGATCACGTCCTCGGTGTTGGGCGTATTAGTGGAGAAGAGCGACAGTCGCGTGCAGCAGCGGCGGCGGCGGCGGGCAGGACTCGGCGCAATGGAGAATATGTGGTCATGAGTAGCATGGATCGAAAGACGGAGAGGATGCGATCACGGATCTGGCGTTATCTTGATGAACGGACCATGCTGCGGGTGCAGGCGTGATGGCGAAGGTCGGGATGAGGTTGATCGGGGTCCGACGACTCGTCTACTGCTGCTAGTGGAGGAAGATGCGATTGACCTGCTGCGCATTTGTCGTAGGAAATTTTGCCCACCTGTCTCTGACGACAAACACAGGGGGGGACCGAGCCTGGGGAAGAGGTAGCCAGTACCACTTAATTCCGTCATCTTTGTGTGGTGAAGCAAGTACTCGGCACCTGGAATGACGCCCTGACCACTTGCTCTTAACCCCCCCTGGGAGCTGCTTGCGACTGGCACAGGGAACACTGCGAAGTCGCGTCTGGCGCGTCCCTCAGCGACCAACTGCTGGAAATACACAACCAGAACCTATGCGATTTACGGCATTCAACGTCCCGCGTTTGGTTTACTGCGTCGAGACTTCTTTCAACTCCCTCTGTGCTCAGAGACCTGAGATTTTTGCTTGTTGTTGAGGGAGACAGCCACTGGCGATGCCATCATGTCGGCCAACCGCGAGCATCGTATTGCTGGCGCTGTCGACAGCCTGATCGCACACCTGGTACCCAACGATCCCCACGAAGACGACGCTGCTGCCCAGGAAAGGCATGACAACTGCTTTGACCTGGTCAAATCAATCTTGGACGGGTAAGATTATTCACTATGCTTGGAGTCTCCAGCCTACTATCTCACTTATCGACTGTCGCTGACCCAAATTCACTGCCCAGCCCCGCGTCCCCCGCCATTTCCTCCGATGTTAACCACGCTTCCGACCTGATCAAGCGAAAGCTCATACAGAGCAACCCAAGCCAAGCCTTACGATTTTCGAACCTCTACACGCGCCTCCTCTCTCTACCGGTGCTCGGCCAGAAGTGGGCTATCTTATACCTCCTCTACCAGCTTGCCGACTCTCCAGATCCAAATGAGCCACTACCCCTCCCCCCGCCGAAGCCTCCTTCCCAGGCGCCGCGCGAGCCGTCCAGAAACCATGAAAGGGGTCAGTCTATGACCTCTACGCCAATCTCAAGAGAAGAAGAACAGTTCAATGACGCCTTCGCTCCTGAGGGCCTGAAGAAGTTTCCTCCGAACAATGCCAGAAAGAAGTCGGTTGACGAAAGAAAACCCGAGGAAAAAGAAAAGGAGAAGGAAACGGAAACGGAAGAGGCCGAGTCGAACAAGAGACAGGTGGCATTAAAGTCAACACTGTTGGCCGACAACTATACCGACATCGAACCATCAGAAACAGTCCTGTTGAGGGACCTCCCATTCACACTCCAAGGTCTATCATCCACTACGCTCCCGCTTTCAAAACCAGATACCGTGGTATTGCCCCCGACACTACCATCGCCAATTATATCCCTTCTGCACACGGTTTCCGAGCCTTCGTTGCTGTACCGACGCCTGGAAGCCTTTGTAAAGTCACCTGCTCAAGGGCTGCTTCGACAGAGTCTTCGAGCCGCAGTAGGCGGTGAGCTGCGGGCATATCTGAGCCTCGTAGCAACCCTCGAGGGACAAATTCGCAGAGCCCTTTCTTCACTGGACGAGTCAGCGCCACGAGGGGGTATTGGCAAAGCGGGAGTGACCTTGAAACGATGCGTAGTATGGACGCGCGAGGCGACAATGGGGCTGAGACTCATGAGTCTCATTGCTGAAGAGTCAGAAAGCAGGCGAGGCGGTCAGCTGATCTCGCTCATACATGGCTTTTCGTCATCACATGGAGATCCCATGGTTGCGGCATTTGCCGAACGTCTTTTGGTTCATGTCACACGCCCGTTCTATGACATCTTGCGCCGGTGGATCTATGACGGCGAGCTTCTCGACCCCTATTGCGAGTTCTTCGTCAAGGAGCAGCAGCAAACAGATGAACCAAAGACTGGCGGAAGCAGTGTCTGGGAAGACAAGTACGAGATTGATAAGGGCATGATTCCTAGTATCATCACTCAAGACTTCGCACAGAAAGTCTTCCTCATTGGCAAGTCTCTCAACTTCATTAGACACAGCTGCGGCGATTCACAATGGGTCGAAGACTACTCCAAGGCTGCGTCGAAGGAGCTGCGCTATGGCGACACAGCAACACTCGAGGCTTGGATCGACGAAGCCTATAAGACTACGATGAAGCGTTTGATTGACTTGATGGCGAACAAGTTCCATCTTTTCGAGCACCTACAGGCTCTCAAGAACTACATCCTCCTTGGACAAGGAGATTTCATTGCCCTCCTCATGGAGTCCCTGGCCGCTAATCTAGACCGCCCTGCTGGCGCACAATACCGTCATACACTCACGGCCCAGCTCGAGCATGCTATCCGCGGCTCCAACGCCCAATATGACTCACCTGAAGTCTTGCGTCGTCTTGACGCTCGTATGCTTCAGCTGTCGCACGGTGACATTGGATGGGATTGCTTCACTCTCGAATACAAAGTTGATGCGCCTGTCGACGTCGTTGTCACCGACTGGGGTAACCGCCAGTATCTCAAGGTCTTCAACTTTCTCTGGCGCATCAAGCGTGTCGAGTTTGCTCTGGCTTCCACGTGGCGTAAGTGCATGACAGGCTCCCGCGGCGTGCTCCAGAACTCCGACCCTGTCGTGGTCCAGACATGGAAGTCGACAAGGGGCGTTCTCGCAGAAATGATTCACTTCATTGGCCAGCTGCAATACTACATCCTTTTTGAGGTTATCGAATCATCCTGGAACGAACTCCAGAAGCGCATTCACCGCGAAGGGTGCACTCTCGACGATCTCATCAAGGCACACACACGATACCTAAACGATATCACACACAAAGGCCTTCTCGGCGCTCGGCGCAGCGTTCGTCACGTCGAAACAGCTACCGGGGAAGATGACCGCGGCTCGTACCTAGCACAGCTGGGCGACCTCCTACGCGCCATGCTCAGCTACCGTGACTCCGTCGATGGTCTCTACAGCTGGAGCGTTTCCGACTTTACACGGCGTCAAGAGGCCGATGTCATGCGCATCTCGACCCGAGCTCCTCGACACCAAAAGAAGGCATCGACGCCTGGCCCCGACGGTGATGATGACAACCACGCCGTCGCGTCCGAGTTCCCAGTGCTTCAGGAACGTCTTCGCCATCTCGGTTCTTCGTTCCGCTCCCGTCTGCAGATCCTCCTCGGTGACCTTGCCTACCAGCCCGACGTCGACATGCGTTTCCTCGGAGTCGCGATGAACTTCAACGACGTGTACCAACCATCAAGGAGGAAGACCAAGACAACGTCAACTGCCTCAGCGAATACATCCAGGGCGTGAGAAAGGCGTCTGTCTCGGAGGCGCTCGGCGAAGTCGGCGTTCGTAGCGACCATAACGAAAGGGGCATTGTTGACTGATGAGTCCGGCCGTGCCAGCGCTTGCGGCCTTCTGAGCGTGTTATGGAGGACTGTTACATTCCATGGTACAGGCACTCGATCAAGCATAGGACTTTGGCGTTGCATACAGGATGGGACGGGAGGTGTTTAAATTGATTGGAATTTTCTGTGTATAGACGGAAGGTACCTATGAATGACGACAAATTACCCATCATGCCAACCTGTCTCTGATTAGTGATTATGTCCACCATGTATGTTGTCTTTTGCCAAATGCCGCACACATCAAGATTCCGTATTACCAGGTTCGCTACCACCACACCTCACTTCACCACCGAGAAAAGAGAGCCCAAGAATTTTAGAATGGAACCTTCATAACTATCATGCCATTTCGTCATGGAATCATGAGCCAAAGAAATCCCAACCCCACCCCCCAAAAGACAAAGGGAATAGGCGCAGTCTGGCCAGGAGATGATCTATCTGATCTTTGGGTAAAGCCGCTTGATACGGTTACCATGCAGTATTCTCACAAGAGAGAAAAAAAAAAAAAAGGAAAGAAAACGACAACCGAGGGCAGGCAAGAAGCCCTTTGCCCTGCTCCTCCACTCCTCCAATCGCCGGTCGATGCTCTGACAGGATTACCCATATATACATGATGTGTTTGCGTACAATGCAGTATTGACCTCCTTCAGGAAGGCCCCTAGTGTTCGTGAAAAAACCCTGTAACCGTCATCGCCGCATGATGCCTTTTGCCAAGAGACGTTCCGTGTCTCTCAGGCCTCTAACAGAAAAAACCATTTTCCTGGTTCCCTTTTTGTTTCCGTCCTCGACGCCAGATTGTTGCGGAGCCGGTGCCGTTTCAGGCACTCCTCGAAAGAATCCAGATCTAGTCTATACACGAAAGTCTTTCAAAGGCCGGGGCAGACAGAGGAAATGCTCAGTCAAGTGCTGAGCGATGCCTCCAAGCCGTTAAACTTTCAATTCTTTTCGAAACAATTCGTTGATGATGCTGTGGAAGCAATGTCCATCAATAGGGTATGTTGAGAACGTTGTTGGAAGGATGTCGATTCCAGCGGGTTCGTATCATGAAATGTCGCCAAGCGTACAATCAGAAAAAGACACAAACGCAATATACGCTGCAGGCCTCACGGAATTGATCGTTAGGCTGAACCGTAGCATCGTTATGTCGTAAGTGAACGCCGCCGCAACAAGGTAGTTTTCAAAGGCCAAAGCGAAGTATATGCTCGCCTTCCAACGCCCTTGCTATGATTCCAACACGATTTCGCCGTATCCACTTCAACAGCGATGCAGCCAGAATCGTAAAATCCAGACATTTCGCAAAATCCCCATGCGCTCAATGGTGCTCGGAGGCGAGAGAAATGTGTGAGCCGTCGATGCGGCTGTATAAGTAAGTAGACGCTTAAACGTCCATCATTTCAGTGTCTTCGTCAATGACGGCCTCCTCGATCGTCTCATCGATCAAGGCTTCGTCAATCAGAGTGGGAAGTGAGGTGGACTCGCTAGGTCCCCACACGCCCTCAAAGACGGTTGCAGCTGATCTGCGACGATCCGCGACCCAGGTCATCGCAGGAGTCGACAGCAGCTGCTGGATAGTAGGTCGCTCACTCGGTTCAGGTCGAATCATCCAACGGACAATCTGGTCGAGTGAGCTGGGGTGGAAAGGGTCGCTCATGAAGTCGGGGGGCGATCTCAGCTCAGTGCGCTTGCGGGTGATGAAGGGGCTGCTTGAATCATCCATCACGACGTTGACTCTGGTAGGGGCAATTCCAGAGTGAAGGCTGATGTCGGGAGCGCTGGTTTGAGCCAGAAGAGGGTCATCGAAGGACTGCATGGTCGGCACTCCAGCCGCGTCGCGTTGAGCACTAGTCGTGGTGGTGGCACTGAAAGTCAGGCTAGGGACTTCCGAAAGGTCACCAGAACGCAGGGCGATCCAGGTAGGGCCATTGTCAGGAAGGACAACGTTCGCAGCCATTTCGATAGTGATGAGTCCGAGAGAGAAGATGTCTGCGGGTTTGTTGAATTCGCCACGGAGGATCTCGGGGCCAATGTACTCTCGGTCACCCTCAGCATCGACGCCCTTAGCAGCAGGCCACTCGGTAGCCAGGCCGAAGTCACCAATCTTGAGGATGCCCTCAAAGGTAATGAGAATGTTAGCGGGCTTCAAATCGAGGTGAATGAACCCAGCCTCGTGAATGCTTTGCAGACCCTACATATTCGTCAGTCATGTCAATGTGCCAAGGAAAGTCTGGTCAACTTACCAGGCCAATGTCATGGATGACCTTCCAGATACGGAAATCATCCAGTCTGCCCTTGCGACCGACATTGCTCAGGAACTTGTCCAGCGTGCCCTCATCACAGAACTCGGTCTGGATGTACAGGTACTGGTTGGCCTCCCAGCTGTCCACATAGTGAAGCACATGGTCAGCGTGAGTCAAGGCCTGAAGCGCTTGGACCTCTCTCAGCTTGGCTAGGCGATCCTTGGGCCCCGTGAACGGACGGCGAGCCTTCTTGACAGCGTAGATGCGGTCGGGCTCAGGGCTTTCGCGAGAGTTCTTCGTGGGCGTTCCACTAAACACGGAGAGGAAGGAAGCGCGAGAGTAGCCAGACTTCACCACCCGGTAGACGGAGGAGAATTCACCCTTGCCAACCATCTCAACCTTGTCGAAGCGAGAGTAGAGAGAGTCATCAACATCAGCACCGCCGCGGACATTGACTGGGGTCATGAGCTGAGTCGTGGTGCTCTGGAAGGAATCGCGTCCAGAGGGGGTGGATGGGGCAGCTACGCTCCTCGGCTCAGGTGGGTTAGAAATCGAGAGGCAGCTGGCGTCAGGAATGACCATGTGCGTAGAGGGGGTTCGGGGAGAGCGCTGTTCAACTGGGCTAGCTGTATCGTGAGAAGTAATCTTAGCCAACATGTCCTTCTGAGGCTCAAACGTCGAGGGACAAAATCGAGTCCGTAAAGGCGAAGGGGCGCTGAAGCCCCGACAGGATCTCGAACGACCAAACGACGGCAAGGAAAGACGCGAAGTAGGAGACAGTCCGCTAGTCGGAGAACCAGTGGAGCCAAGGGGAGAGCTTGACAATGGACCACTGGCGCCCCTGTTGTTGGACTTTCTCTCTGGAGTACACTCACCAGTAGATTCTCTAGAGATCATTGGCCGAACGGCGGAAAAGGGCAGCGATCTCTTAGCGCTGGGGCTCTCGATGCTCTGCTCACTCAGGTTGCTCAAGCTAGGGGTGAGACCCTGCTTCGTGGGTGTCGGGGGGGCGTCAGTAGTAGCAGCTGCGAGGTCGACGTTGAAGTTGGTTTCAAGGGAGAATTTCTTATCATCGTCCAAACTCAAGACACTGCCTCGGCGGGCATGGCGCGATCCCATGCGCTGGAAGATGCCAAGGCCCTTTCCTGGGTTGCCAAATGTGCTGCGAGATGATGGAGCTCCCGGTGCGTTGAAAGGGGTTGATGGCATACCACCGAACGAGTAGCGGTTGTTCTTCTTCATCACACTGCCAGGAGGTGGTGGGAAGGTGGCAAAGCCGTTGGTGGGCTTCTTGCAGGGAGTGTCGGGCATGGTTAGTTTGTTGTCGAACTCCTCGGGGTTGCGGTTGACCTTGGAGACAAGGCCTGTAGACATGAAGGCTCCGGCCCAAGGCTTGGCCGCCTTGAAGGGAGTGACATTCTCGTTGTTGTCCTCTTGCATGAAGGAGGGCCGAGAAGAGCCATAAGGCATCGACTTTGCGAAATTGATGGGAGCGCGGGGCTTCTCGAAGAGCGACGGAGGAGGCATGCTGTTATTCTGCTCCTCCAGGCTGTTTCCCGATGTTGAAGTGACCAGCGTCTTAGACAGCGGGTGAGGCTGGTGTGATGAGCGCTCAATTGGGTGAGCGGAAGGGTTGGGCAACGGTGGGTTCGATGAGAACGGGCTGTCGCGGGGAGCTTGAGGGGGAAGGAACTGATCCATTGACAAGCGCGGCCTGTTCTTGCTGTTGGGCGTTGAAAAGTCTCCGCTCATCTGTGCCAGGTGGTTTGCACCTGACCGACGTCCCCAAGAACTCCGGTCGTGTTGTCTTTGCTGGAGGGTGGACTTGCGTAGTGATCCAGTCCTGCGCGGGGCCTGGGGAGGCGGGGTCGGTGAAGGGAGAGGGTCCCGGTTTGAAGAAGAGCCGGATGATCCAAAGAGCTCGTACTCGCGGTTGGCTTCGTCGTGAATGTCAAAATTCGTCTTGCCCGGGGTGCCGCTGTTGCTGTTGTTGGTATTCGCGTTGTTGTCAAAAATGTTGAAATCAGGTGTGGTCTGGCCAAAACTTGAAATTCCGTGCAAACTGCGGCGCTTCGCGACCGGGCTGCCAAGCGAGGCCTGGTCGAGATTCATGATGGCGTCGCTGCGCTTCAGTGCGCCCGATCCCGGGACTGCCTGCGACTCGCCTTGGCCTTCGATCGACCTGAAAATACTCGCTTGCTGAGCGTGACCGGTGCCGTCAAGATGGAAACTGTGGCGTGATGATTTTTGAAAGTTCGATCTGGACAGCGGGCTGACCTGGCCGTTATTTTCCTGGCCGGGGCTCTCGGAGCTTGAAGCAGACGAGGGGCAAGAAGGAGTAGAATTTCCCGAGTCAGAGGTAGCGTTCAGAGCGCGCTTGAGAGGTGACTTGGGCGAAGTTCGAAGTCGAGTTACTGGCCGCGAAGGGCTGCCCGTCACCTTGGATGACTTTGCAGAGCGCAGAGAGAGGCGGACGCTGGGGCGGAATGGCGTGGCCAGGCTTGGGGGCGAGCTCAAGGGCGTAGTAGAGGTCAGCATGGAAGGAGGAAGGCCGGCTGGGGTAAAGCTGAGGGGATGCTGGTCCTGCAGGCCGCTGATGCCACTGTTGCTGCCACTGCTACTAGGTGGTGTTGGTGTTGGTGTGTATCGTCGGCATGGCGATTGCTGCTGGACTGGTGTGTGGGATCCGCTGTGAGAGCTATCGGTGCTCTCAAGAGAGTTGGTGCGCGCCAGGCTGAACTTGGAGGGCGATCTGGAGAGTGACCTTCTCAGGCCCCTCACAGAGGAGGCAAGCACGTCCACATGGTGGACATGTGTCGGGCTGGGAACAGTGAGTGTTCCTCCGCTGCTGTTGGAGAACGACATGTTGGTTGGATGGCGTTCTTTGAGTGTCTTGTTTTGTTGTGTGGTCTATGGTTTTTTTTCTCTTTCTTGGGATTCGCTGTCAAAATACAAAGAGCTGAGCGCCGTAATGTTGGTGTATCTTCGCAGCAAGCAGTGAATCAATCAATCCTGGGAGGGCAAGCAAATTGTCGCTGGGTATTGGTCGTCGGAATACTGTTTCGCTGGCTGCTCCGCGTAGGTGGTGGTGGAGCAAAGGTGCGATCGATGGATGGAGATAAGGCGTGTCGATTCGAGTCGAGTCGAGGGTTGGTGGTTGGCCTATGGCGCGTGTGTTGTTTGGCCTATACGGGAACGTGTTGGCGATCTGAAGAGATGCGGACTACGAGGGCGCAGCTTCCTGAGGCGCGCGCGGAAGTGTGTATCGTCGATGTTTCGGGGTCCTATCCCAAAGCGGTTGTTGATAGGACGGAGGAGACTGGTGGGAGTCCCTCAGGTGGGAGTAGTTACACGTGGTTGAGGCGATGAGGCCTGGATAGGCGGAAAGAGCGCCCTCTTTCTTGGTTCGATGCTGGTGGGACGTGGTGTTGCAGAAAGAAGTTGAAGGATGGAAAAGGAGGGAAGGGCCCAGGCAGGAAGCAGAAGGGAGGAGGGCCAGGAAGAAGGGACGGGACGGGAGCGCAAGTGCATCTACTGCATGGCGCTAAGGTCTGAGGGGGGATGTCAAGCAGGAACGGTTAGGCATGCGTCTTGCTTCGCATCTTCATTCCCCTGGTGCTTGTGTCGCGACTTGTGATCGGCAGGCGACTCTTTCAAGTCATGGCCAGGAGAAAGAGAAGCTGGGGTGGAGGGTGAGAGGAAGTAGGGGTCCTTTCTCTCTTTCGCGTTGTGTCGTGTCGTGTTGGTGGTGGTGAGAGTTGGTTGGGTGAGGCGGGTGGCAAAGTCCTTTGGGCAGCGAAGGTATCTCTGACTCTTGTTGGCCTTGTAAACTTGGAGGGCTGCAGACAAGGACAGGCACCCTCAGAAGGCAAAGGATGAGTGTGTGAGAGAGGGCGAGACTTGGGCGCAAAGGAAGGCGGAAGGATGCGCGGTGTAAGAGGGTGAAGTGTGTGCGTCGGGTTGTGTGAGAGAGAGTGGGTGGTGGGTGGTTGGGTGCGGGAGCGGGTGCGGATGCGCCAGTACAAGTGAATTGCGCGCGCAACAAAGTGGGTGGGTGAAGTGCTGATAGTGGGCTGGCCTGGGTGCCTGGGTCTTGCTCTATCTTGGTGGGAAAGTTGGGATGGGATAGATGGACAGGACGGGACAGGACAGGGCAGGCGGGCAGCCAAAGGCCTTGGACACACTGGGGGATCGCAGTCAGAATGGAGCCTTCTGGGTGGCTCCAGGCGCTGAGGACGCAAGCTGAGTGGATGGTTCAGGTTTGGAACGGAGAGAAAAGAAAAGACCCAAGTCCTGGAAAGCCGCTGCTGCTGCTTTGCTGCTTTTCGCGATGGCGCGCGTGGCGTGTGTGTTGTTTACACGACTTCCAAAAGAGGAAAGGTGGTGGCTTTTCACGTGACAGACGCGTCGGGAGCTGGTGGGGCTGGCTGGTCTCTGCTAAGGAAAGACCGACCTGAGGCTGCAGCTGGTCGCAAAGTCGCTTGCTGTCGCACCTGCAGGTCCCGGATTGGGGAAAAAAACAAAACCTGGAGAGGCATGAAGACGTCTCAAATGAAGAATCCCGAGGCTTCATCATGTCTTGGACTTCGCATTCGGGAGCCGACAGTCGACTTTCTTCTTGTTGTTCGTTTGTCGCCCAGTATCAGACATCAATCAACAATGTGTTTGCAGCCCCCCTCCCCCCCGTCGTCCCTCGCTCGCCCTGACATCACTAACAACTAACATGCTCGAACCCAACGGTCTGGCATCCAAATAGACCAGGGGCCGTCCCCGGACACAACCCAGGGGATGCCTTTTCGGACGTCTACCAGCACCGCTCATTGGCTGCGTCTGCCCTCTGCCTGCAGGGTCCCGCCCACGCGTCTGAGGTCTCATGCAGCCATGCCGCACCTCAAGAGCACACTTCACGGAGCGAAAATTGACACAAAAAATAACATACTGAAATCCGAGAGCAGACGAGAAACATCAGTCGAGCCCCTATCTTTTTCTCCTTGGGCCTCCTGTTCTGTGCGTCACGACTTGCAGCAGCGTCCGCCCACCCGCACACTACATGGAGTCGAGGGTCAGCATCTTACACGTAAAAGACCAGACGACAGGCGAGCGAGCCTTCCCACCAGGGTTTCTCCAGTCCCAACACACTGACGGTCGACCTGAGGGAAAAGGCGCCTGTGCGACTGTGTGCCCCTCTTTGCTAGGTTCCATTCTCAGTCGTGGATTGTGGTCCTGCGGTGCTGGCCTTACCTCGTGCATGCCTACCACCTCACCTCCCCGCCGGCCGGTCCCCGTGTGCCTTGATCAGTCGCTCGCACACTGCAGTAGCTGCTGCAGTATCAACTGGTCCCTGGTCTTAAAGCCACGATTCGACTGCCACTTGTCCGCTTGACGCTGACGCTCCCCATCCAGACGCAGCGAAACGCTCCTCTGACTCTTACCCTCTCTGCAGCTTCGCTGTGTCAAGACGCACCTCAGCATCATCACCTTGCGGAGAACAATGACTGCATTTGCGACTGTCGGGCAGCGGCAAAAGGTGGGTTCATCATCAAAGTGGCAGGACGGATGATCCATGGACGATGGAGCCAGGCCACTAAACAAACGCGACAAGCCACAGCCGAGACCAAAACAAAACAAAAAATGTTTTTGTTTTGTTCGCCAATGTCAACAATACTTATCATTTACGAGCCTCACCACCAATTTTGCGAGTACCCATCAGCCCAGCGCCCTTCGGTCCCCACGGCGTAGCTGAGCATTCGGCTGAGGCTGCTACTACCACCGTCACCACCGTCATCGCCATCCACCCCATCCACCGCCAAACAGCATCCAACCTTGCGTGCTTGCCTCACCACCTACCAGTGGCATACCTCTCAGATACCCGGACCCTGCTGTTACGCACATCGGTCACTTTTCCTATCCGTTTTGCTGTCCATCGCTCAATGGGGGGAATGACAGGGTTCGCGATTGATTGCGCCCGATATTACGATTTCATGCTTGCGACCGCTATCATTTCGCTTCTGTCTTCATCGTGACCTGCGACTTGCGACCTGCCCATTGTGTTCAACATTGAAAAGCTCCAGACGACAGGCAACATCTAGCTTTCCAGCTCGGCTTCCAGAAAGACACCGGCGCTGAATGGTCCACCGACCGGTCCTCCCATTCCAGGAAACCAGAAGTCTCCTCCCCGCTGTCTTTTTCTCCCTGAAATCTCATTTTCTGCCCACCAGCGCAAGAAAGTCCTGGAACATTGGGAATGGTCTGGATGATCTAACACTTCGGGCGCGGCAGCGGCTTGCAAGGTTTCCTCTAAGAAGAAAAAGGAATTGGTGTTTCTACCCCCTCCCTATCCGTCCCGTCACCTCGTCACCACTAAACTACCGACAAACTGGCCTCATCCACTGATCCTCGCCACGCTATCTTCACCTGTTGCTCCTCTTCAACGGGCTGTTGGTTGCGTCAAAAATAACCTGGCTGCGACAAGATCGCGCTCCCGTTTCGGTGGCCCACCAGGGCGGGGAGGGGGGGCAGGAGCTTGGATCGCCGTTCGAGCCTCTCCTCCCTCCAGAGCTCGGACACTCTTTGACCTTTCTTTTTTTTTTTTTTTTTTTTTTTTTCTCCACACTTGTCCCTTCGTCGGTCGCCCACGTCCTGGTTGGTTACGTTCCATGCCGGAGGAAGAGAACCCAACAAGAGACAAGACGGCACGGGAACGACTCGTCGTATCGGGCGGCAAGACAAGGGACGGACGGGAAGTGGCTGCAAGGCGACGCAATGCCCAGGCCAAGATGCAAAGGTATCATCAGGGTTACACCAATACGCAAGATATTGAATCCAAGCCACACAACCCAAAGAAAGAACCATAGATGACACTGAATGAGATGACCTGAGGTGGTGAAGACCCCGTTTTTTTTTTCTCTGTGTCTCCTCCGATCAAATCTCTGGTATACGGTAAAATGCAACATATTCGCTTCTGCACGTGCAAAGCAAAAGGTTGAGAAACAGATCGCCTTCCTGTCAGATGTATCGTGCCGCAGTTGCAGCGGAGGAAGAGGACCAGGAACAGGACAAGAGACGGACGTCCAACCCATGGACAGAGTGGCCCCCCTCACTCAGATCACCGTCCCCAGTGCTCCTCTTTGTGCCACAGCCCGCGGTCCATCGACCCCGAAACCTGGGCAGAAGACCCAGAAATTGCTCGATATTGACGTCTCCTCTGCTCCGAGGCCCAGCGGGCAGCCAACAGGCCCCCAGAAAATCTTCCCGTCCTCCGAAAGCCACTAATACGGTGGGCAGGTATCTATCTAATCGGGAGAATGCCAAAAACCCGACCTCCAATTTCCCATTTGGCCCCCCTTCCCATATTACACCGGATATCATATTAAAGCACCCTTTATTGTTGTTTGTTGATGGGTGTAAATTCAAAGTCAACAAACAAATCAACAACCTCCCCTCCCTCCCCTCCCTCCCCTCCCTCCCCTCCATCGCCTATCGATACCGGTGGATTCCAATCCGCCACCCCTTGAATCCTCCCCTCCAAGGTCAGCAGCTCATTGTCAATGCCATCCCCGTATTGTAAGATCCTCTCTCTCCCCTTCCCCCCCATCTGCGACAGGCACAGCACAGACTCCCGACCTCCGAAACAACCGCCGCGTACAAAAATCGACGCAGAGCGACGAATAATACGGGGCGGACCGCCGCGCGGAAGGGAACGAAAAGAAAGGGATGCAAGCAAGTAGGCGACTCGAAGAAACAATGTCTCTACCTATCTGCAAAACCCCGTCTCAGACAATCGTGTCCACGGGAAAAGAGAAGATATCAATTCCAAGAAGGAAAAGAAACCGCACAAAAGTACATTGGTAGAAGACAACAGAGAA